CCATGTGCAAGTTATTATTTAATAACCTAAAAATTCATATATACATATTTATACATTTTGCCACAGGTGCCCAATCCATTCTTCTCAGAGAACTTGCCCCACTGTTGAGGTGTGGGCCTCAATAGTCAGGACTGTCCTACATAACTCTGTGCACTGGCCATAGCTGTTGGTGCATGAGTGGACTCCTGACTCCATGCTGGGGCAATCAGATTCTCTAGCCCTATCATCTGGGATTAAGATAAAGATGCTACCTGGTGTGGAACTGAGAACAAGGGAATTTGGGAGTTGTGGAGTAGAGATAATTAAATTCATGTACAGAGATGAATGTGGCCTAATGGAAAAAACTGACAAGAGTTGCTTAGATTCTTGCTATCTTTCCAGTTCCTGATTCGTCTCTTGGGATGTCAAGACACACTCCCTATCTTTGGGTTATACAGCCTTATAACAAATACCTTTTTTCAGTGGCCTACCAAGATCAGGATGATAGGAGAGATCTAAGGTGGGTATAAACAAAAGGTGACAAATTGTCTAGAATCATGGTGACAATAAAAAAGCAGACTGACTTTTAGTCAATTTTATTACTGCTTTAAATTCTCTAAAATACTAGTGATCAAGGGGCACCTGGGTGGTGAAGTCGGTTGGGCATCTGACTCATTGTTTCGGCTCAGGTCGTGATCTTAGGTCCTGGGATTGAGTCCCATGCCTCTGTGCTCAGTGCTGAGTCGGCCTGGGACTCTCTCTCTGTTTCTCTCTCAAATAAATAAACCTTTAATAAATAAATAAATAAAATGCTAGTGATCAAATACTCCCTACCCTCCTCCACACACCACTGCCTTTTGCATGAGCTAGTCTAGTTGTTAGAACCAAAGTACCTTGACTATAACCAATAATAATGATCTTGACCCAACCAACAATCTAAAGAGAAAATAGTGAAAGAAATCAGAGTCGATACGCGTTCCTTTTCCAAAATTAACAAGTTATTAATTCAAGTAAAGAAAATTTATTTTAAATATTAAATGATTAAGAGAAAAAAGCATACAGAACTTTTTTTTTTTTTTTTTAAAGATTCCTGCCTTTGTTTAAAGGAAGTGATTTGATGTGGATCACTAAATGAACATCACTGTAGGGACTAAGCACTATGCACATAACAGAGACTGACAAGGATATGTTGAACTAAAGTATTTTAAATCATAATTTAAGCCTTTGGATCTCAACATCCTGTACATAAAATTTTTTAGAAACTCCAAGGGAAATATTAAAGATATTCTATGAAGGCTTACAGGAAAAAATTTACATATGAACAATTGTAATATGGCAAATACAAAATCAAAATACAGATTGATTCACAAAGATGAATTATGACCCTTGTAGTTATGACTGGCCACTCACCGAATTTCAAAGTTTCCTACCTGAATGATAAGAATGAATTAGACCTTGCATGTGAAAATAAGTCATACCTGGTAGGATCATGAATCCTCTGAAATCACTGAGGTCCACCAGGACTGTCCTAAGTCTGAGACTTGTGGTCACAGTAACCAGCCCAATTCACACCATTTCTGATTAATCAATCAGTCTTTTCACTGCCTCTATTCGGCACATATTCACTGAGCATTTTTAATGTACAAGGTGTATTCCAGGCAATGAGGATATACTGGTGAATAAATCAGATACAGGCCCTGAATTCCCTGAGTAAAAAATACAACAAAAGGAACCCAGAAAACAAGTTCTTTCAGTAACTTGCTTTGTATTATGTGAAAATTATTAAAGGGAAACCTCACTGAAGTGGACCTGGAGGAGGCGCCTGGGTGGCTCAGTTGGTTAAGCATCTGCCTTTGACTCAGGTCATAATCCCGGGGTCCTGGGATGGAGTCCCGCATTGGGCGGGGGGGCGGGGGGGGGGTCCCTGCTCAGCGCGGAGTCTGCTTCTCCCTCTGCCCCTCCTACTGCTCACACATGTGCAAGTGCTAATAAATAAATAAAATATTTAAAAATAAATTAAGATGGGGCGCGTGGGTGGCTCAGTTGGTTGAGCGACTGCCTTCGGCTCAGGTCATGATCCTGGAGTCCCTGGATCGAGTCCCGTATGGGGCTGCCTGCTCAGCAGGGAGTCTGCTTCTCCCTCTGACCGTCCCCCCTCTCATGTGCTCTCTCTCTCTCTCAAATAAATAAATAAATAAAATTTAAAAAAAAATAAAAATAAAAATAAAAATAAATTAAGAAAAAAAGGGATGCCTTGGTGGCTCAGTCATTAAGCATCTGCCTTCAGCTCAGGTTCCTGGGATGGAGTCCTACATTGGGCTCCTTGCTCAGCGGGGAGCCTGCTTCTCCCTCTGCCTGCCGCTCCCCCTGCTTGTGCTTGCTCTCTCTCTCTGGCAAATAAAATTTTTTTAAGAAGTAATTAAGAAAAATAAATAAAGTGGACCTGGGATGCTACAAGGGGAGGCTTAAAAGGGGAGCTGTACCACCCAATGACAATTACAAGAAGAACTATCAATTACAGACCCCTAACAAGAAGAAGCTTCAACAGGAAAGAATCATCAATTACAGGCCCCAACAAGGTGAGATGTACATTGCATCTCCTACAAGAAGTCTACTATCCCTACAACTCATCCACTGAGAAACCAGCATCACCCTCAACCCCTGCTTTTCTCCAATGGGCTTTCCTTCAAAAATAATCCATCCCAACTTCTTCTCTGTAAAATAAAGTTCCTCTCCTTTGCGGGACTTGTCTATGGTTTGCCATAGCTTGCATGTCCCAAATTGCAATTTCTCTGCTACTTCCCAATAAACCCATTTTTACTGGTAAAGTAACTGGCAGTTTTATTTTTAAGGTTAACACATGTGTCCTTTCCAGGACACAGGATCCTGTAGTGATTGAAGCAGCGAGTAACTAACTTACGTTCCCGAAAGAAAAGTAAGACTTAGCCAGGAAAGTACAAGTGGAACGAAAGAGAAGGAGGGGACCAGGCAAAGGAAACAGCTGATGCAGAAAGGCCTAGAGGCAAGGTTCAAAATCAAAGAACTGAAAGAGGGTTCAACAGGAGAGGGAATGCAATGATGAGGTCTGAGAGCTAGGTAGGGGTGGAGCCAAGAAAGGCCCCATAAACCCCAAGAGCCGTTTCTCTATCTGGGTGAAAAATCAATTTAAAGCAATTTACTACAAAACCGAAGAAAGTCTACAAGTTTAACACTGGACTTACATCTCACAGAAACATACCTGCAATGCTGTTATTATAAAGGCTTTCAACATATTCATGGTGATAAAAAGAACAGTAAAAATATGTACTTCAGAACAGCTTCTACCAAAAAAAAAAAAATCATTGACTACAAAGCAGTGTTATTTTCTTCTCTGTAACACAATCTATATGGGAAAAGAAGACATCCTGTGGGGAAACACATCAACAAGGCCCAGGTGCCCACAATTTACAAAATTTACAAAATATCATAAAGCCAGAATTTTATACCCAAACATACCCTTTCTGTACTATAAAGAGATGTGCCCCTTAGGATCATACACTCAGGACACAAAATCTGACAAATACTTTCAAAACTACATCAAATATAAAATCATCTCGTATCCTTCAAGACTAAGGTATGGGGTATTTCTCATAAATATATTTTCTAAATATCCGTAACTGGAACTTTGCCCTTAAGCACCAAAACTTTTTACTTTTGACGATTTTCCCTAAAAAGTACCTATGCATCTACACCCACCAACTGTGCAGTTTAATCTTCACGCCACATTCTGGGGCCATTATTTTAGACATCAACTATGGGCTCCAGTATCCTCTGTAAACATCAATTACTAGGATTTAGTGGAGGTAAATGCGCCCCTTCCTCAAAGCACCCTATGGATATAGTAGTGGGGTTTTTTTTGCCTTTCTAAAAATATACACACACATAGTTTTAGATTTCTTCTTTATCAGGTTGTCAATGTTCACGGACTACAATCCGGATGCCTACCCACGCCTTCTTCTAATTTGCTGCTTCTAGTTTCGGCCTGGGAAACCAGAAAACTAAACTAGTTCAAATTACAGGGAAAATGAATAGAGTCGCTGAGTCCCTCCTACAAGAAATACATGGAGTTTACGCCACTGATTTTGGCTGCTGGAGACTATTTAGCTTCTCATTAGCCGATCTCACCAATATCCCACGGTGTTTTCAAATGAGCCAAGGCCACTCCTACAACGCTGTTACCTCCAGGTGCTACAACCTAAGTGATTCCCGGTTTGCCTCCACCACTCCTAAGTGCAAAAAGAAGGGGGGGGGCCGAAATGACCAGTGAACCACACGCAAGCCTAAATTTGCCCTCATGGAAAGTACCATTTACAAATAAACTGCACTACGATTTACTGAGCTCGCCTGCAGCATTCTCAGCTCTTCTACGTAGGAGCTCGTCTGAGTAGTTCCGCGTTTCTTGCTAGCTCTGACACGAGCGGAGACGTCTACCAGGCAGGTTTTAAAGTCATCCTAAGAGAAGAATTAAGCTCTTATACCCAATCTTATCTCAAAGAGAGAGGATGTGTGTAATACAGTCGTGCGAGCCAACTTCTGCTCCGAGCGAGCACTCCCCCGACACACCGGAAGTTTTGAAATATCCTGCAGGCTCCCCGTAGGCAGAGTGCTCCTCCTCGCCCCGTCTCAGCGGGTCCCCGAAGGTTCAAGGACCCCTCCGCGAACGGCCGCACGGGGGGCGCGGGCCCCCGGCGCGCCGCGGAGGGGAGCGAGGCCGGCAATCACGGCCGACCGCCGGCTCCGCGCCGCGTCACCTTGGCCGCTCGCGAACCGCGAATCGCGAACCGGGCAGGTGGGAGGCACCTGCGGCCGGCGGGGGAAGCCGCGGCCCGGGCACGGGCACCCGCACCGGGGTGCCTCAGCGCCGCCCGCGCAGGCCCGGCCGACCGCGAGAGCCTTCGGGGGAGCCCCGCGTGGGGCCGCGCGGCGGGGCCGGGCCCCGGGCTCGACAAACTCGGCGGCCCGCCCCCGGCGCCGCCACTCACCGAAGAAGCCTTGCACGATCCCGAGCGGGTGGCTGAGCCAATCCTCCCCGCAGGGCATCTCGCCGACGGGCCAGGGCCAGCGCGGCCCGGCGTCCCGCGCCGCGGCTCCTCCTCGGGGGCTCGGCCGCTGGTCGCCCGCGCCCTCCCACGCACGGCGAGCCTCAGGGCGCGGGCCGCCCGGCCTCCCCACGCCGCAAGGAACGGCGGCTGTGGCGGCGACAGCCGAGGAGCAGCTGGCCACGGGCAGGCGGCGCGTGCGGGCCCCCAGCCTCCACTTCGCACAATGGCGGGAAATAGGCGCCGCCGACCGCGCTGCCTGCGACCTGGGTGGAGCTCGCGCGGGGAGGGGCGGCGGGAGCGCGCGGCGCGGCCCCGCGGGCGGGAGGAGGGGCGGGTAGGCTCGCGCGGGGGCGGGGCGGGGCGGGGCCGCGACGCGGCGGCGGGCCGGCCGCCATCTTGGAGATGGGCAAAAGGAAGGGCATACGGGGCTTCGGGGAGACGGGCGTCGTGGCCGAGGGTGGCGTGTTGCAGTTTATCACGCTGTGCAAGTGTGAAGGAGGAAACTGCCGATGTCCGGTTTATTAATTCGTGGTAGGAGGCCTTGCCCAGGTCAGAGACCGCAGCATCCTGAAAGCATAAGCCCAAGGAGAACTTGTGGTCGTATCTGGGCAAAATTAGTGGATGAAACAGCCCTTGGAGTCCACCCACGTCCTCTTGGTGCTGGTTTTTGTTTTTGTTTTTGTTTTTGGTTGCTCCTTTCTCTGGAGCCCTGCCTGAAACCCATGCGGTGACTTTCCCTCAGCTGCATAAAGTCTTATCCCACTGAAGGAGGTATGCATTTAGATAAGGGGCACTGTGAAAAACCCCAAACGCCCTTTGCTGTCATCTCCAGCCCTCGGTTAGAGGGACCAGTTCCTAATTGAGAGGCAAGCTCATACCTGAAAACATACTTGGTCTGCCTCTGCCTAGAAGCTGGAAACAGCCAGATTGCTTTGGCGGGTTCCTGCAGAAGGTGTGTACAGGTTTACCTTAGAGATACTGCTCCTTTGTGCCGCAGCACTGCAATAAAGCGAAAATCATAATAAAGTGAATCAAATGAATTTTTTGGTGTCCCAATACACGCAAAGATTATGTGTATGCTATACTGTAGTCTATTAAGCATGCAGTAGCATTATGTCTAAAAGAAGACACTTTAATTTTAAAATATTGCTTAAAAGATGCTGTCCTCAGGGGGCGCCTGGGTGGCTCTGTCAGTTAAACATCCTCTTGCTTTCAGCTCACGCCATGATCTCAGGGTCATTAGATGGAGTTCCACATCCGGCTGAGCACGCAGTGGAAAGTGGGCTTGAGATTCTCTCCCTCTCCCTCTGCTCCTCCCCTCCCCAAATAAATAAATCTTAAAAAAAAAAAAAAAAAAAGATGCTGTAATCCGAACTTTCAGCAAGTCATAATCACCCATCAGGGATCATCATAACAAATATAGTAATAACGAAAATGTTTGAAATGCCACGAGAATTACAAAACCGGTCACAGAGATACCCAGTGAGCAAATACTTTTGGAAAAACAGCATCAATGGACTTGCTCCGAATGGTGTTGCCACAAACTTTCAATTTGTAAAAAAAAAAAAAAAAAAAAAAAAAAGCCGTATCCGTGAAGTACAATAAAGCATAGTAAAACAACGGAGATACCCTCAGGATGAAGGTGGTGGCATCACACACAAAAGATCAAATCTAGGGGTAACCTTTTAGCAAGGAAATTTGGAAAATATCCAAGTTCAGCAATGAAATAGCATGTTTCTCTTAGGCCTGGAATGTACCTGAGAAAACTGCAGTATCAGCAGCTGAAAACAGAGCTTGTTAACAGAAGGATGATCTGAATGGAGTCTGGAAAGTGGGGAGTCCAAGAACAAGAACTGAATTCAAATCTCAAGCCCTATTTAGGACAAAGGGAGCTCATTTGTACTTCTCATTGTGAACTAATTAATTGGCATACTGGATTATACATCTGGCTCTGTGAGTTTGGGTGAGCTGAGAAAACGAAGTTTCAAATCCAGGGCACTACCACATTTCATTCATTTATTCATTTGTTTAGCAGAGAGCGTTGCCAAGTTCCTCATATGAAATGCAGAAATCCCATATTTTAGCTTCGTGACCAGTAACATGCAAATTAAATGTATGCAGGCATGAAAATGTTGGCTTTTAAGTCATAATAAGCAAAGATTTGTTTCGTAAGAAATTGCAGATGGGTACCAAGTCAGCAGTGGCCAGGGACACTTCAGTTTTAGGTTTCTCCCTGTGTATGTAATTACTTATAAACAACCAGTTGCTCAGATTTACTTAAAGACACACTGATGTTTTTGAGATGTCATTATTCTATAATGTGAATAACTGTAACATCTAATTTTTTCTGTGGGAAGACATTTGATACTACTAATAAGTAGTTATGAAAATGTAAGCGGCCAGGGCAGGGTCCAAAAGAGTACATCTCTATGACAGGAGTTTTTCCCCCGCCACCAGTAACAGCACTTCTGCCCCCATTCCAAGCCTGTGTTTTTAAGGAGGGTATTAAGTAATCCCCTTTACCTTTGTGGGGTAAAGGAAAAGAATGCTAGAGGGATTTCCTGAAATGTGACATTTACACTAGGAATTGAAACACTGATAAGAGTTAACTAGGCAAAAAGTGGGAGGGAAGAGTGTCCCAAGCCTAGGGAAATAAAGCTTGCAAAGAAGAATTAAAATAATGACAATTTATTATATGATTTGGCTATTTTATAGTGTTTATATAATCACAATAATGTTAAAATTTGAATGTCAATCTAACCAACATTGTAATTTAGCTTTAGTGAGAGGCTACGGGGGAAAGGGTTCATATATGTGATGAGGACAAAGATCAAAAGGGGCAAAATCCTCATTGTTCATCTGGGAAGTCAACATGTAATGCAAATGGGAAAAACTTCAGAAGTGGCAATGTAACCATATTAATTTATAAACAGAAATACTAAAAGAATTGGCTGAAAGAGTTGAATGTAGTTGCCTTCAGGGTGGGGTAAATTTTTTTTTAAACATTGGCTAGTTTTCTACATACTTATTAATTCAACCCCACCTGCTCTAGAATTTCCACTAGATTGTAAGATCCGTGAAGCAATAATTTTGGTACTTATATGCTGTTTTATTCTCTGGCACCTAGAACAGTGCCTGGCATAGCGTAGGTGCTCAATAAATGGTTGTCTAATGGATAATGCACATTTTCCATCAGTTGCCTAAATTTCCTCTCTAAGTGTTTAGACACATTTTCTTGGATATCTTTCCCAGAGACTTTGACCTGTTCCAATCTGGATTTCTTGCCCTCTACCTCTGGTATAAAACTGTCTTCCTAGGGTCTCCTACCACCATTATCCTAAAGATTCTCTTTCCTTTCATGTTTTCATTGAGACTTTTAAAAAAATCTGTTCCCTCCTTCTTCCATACCTATAGATAGATTGCTTAGGGAAGAACTGCAACTCTTAGTCTCAGAGGTATAGCTGAGGCTGGTTGCCCAACTAGGGACTACATTTCCCAGTCCTCTTTGCAGCTAGGTGGGGCTGTGTGATTAGGTTCTTACCAACGTACTGGGAGCAAATGAGGTGTCTGGAACTTCTACTTCAATTTCTTAGAAAACTTTTGGCCCAGGTATGTTCTTTCCTCCTTCATGATGGATAGAATGCTGATGACTAGAATGATTCTGTGTTAAAGACAGCCTGGATTTTGATAGGAATATTGCATTCTGTAACTCTTTGTTACAGCGGCTAACATTATTCTAAATAATTCAGAAAGCTGGTATAAGTGGGGTGTTATCAAAACAAACAGAAAGTAATGTGGCTCTAAGTTAGTGGTTGGAGAGTGGGTAGCAATAGGTGAAAGAGGAAATGCCTCAGACAATGAAGGAGATTGCTTTCATCCAGGCTGTTGCAATAGGGAGAACTTCCATCCAGAAACATCTCAAAGAAGAGGGTTAAATTTTGAGGTTTTGTAAAACAAGGGAGTTGCTGAGAAAGGGTAGAGGTGAGTTTTATGTTGGAATATGCAAAAGCAAGTTGGTCTTTTGCATTTATCCTTTTCTTGGAACACAAAGGGAGAAGGGATTTCTTAACTATCCCGGTTTTCTGAGGAGTAAGTGGGGGCAACTAATAGGGAAGTTGGACTCATTGACCAAGTCCTGACTTTTCTAGGCCAATTGCTGCAGATGTTGTGGGTCAGAGTTCTACTGTTAAATATGGTCTGGCCACTGTTTGTATATTCAGTCTCTCAGAAATAACATGGAAGCCACATATGTAAATTAAAAGTTCTAGTAGTTACATTAAGAGATATTCAGAGGTACAAACTTCTAATTATAAAATAAAGACATCACGGGAATGAAAAGAACAGCATAGGGAATATAGTCAATAATATTGTAATAACTTTGTATGGTGGCAGGTGAAAACTACGCTTATGGTGGTGAGCATTACATGGTGTATGTAATTGTCAAATCACCATGTTTGACACCTGAAACTAACATAATATTATATGTTAACTATACTTCAATTAAAAAGTGAAAACAGGGGCGCCTGGGTGGCTCAGTTGGTTAAGCATCTGCCTTTGGCTCAGGTCATGATCCTGGAGTCCCGGGATCGAGTCCCGCATCGGGCTCCCTGCTCAGCGAGGAGCCTGCTTCTCCCTCTGACCCTCCCCCCTCTCATGTACTCTCTCTCATTCTCGCTCTCTCAAATAAATAAATAAATCTTTAAAAAAAAAAAGTGAAAACAAACAAGAAACCATAGTGAGAAACTATTACACACCCATTAGAATGGCCAAAATTTAAAATACTGGCAACACCAAGTATAGACATTACTGGTTGGAAAATAAGACGGTACAGTCACTTTGGAAAATAAAGTGGCGGGGCACCTGGGTGGCTCAGTCGGTGAAGCTGCCAACTCTTGATTTTTGGCTCAGGTCATGATCTCAGGGTCCTGGGATGGAGCCCCACAGAAGCAGGGAGCCTGCTTCTTCCTCTCCCTCTGTCTGCTGCTCCCCCTGCTTGTGCTCTCTCTCTCTCTGTCAAATAAATAAATGATATCTTAAAAAAATAAAATAAATCTTAAAAAGAAAAAAGAAAAGAAAGTGGCAATTTCTTACAAAGTTAAATATACTTGACTGTTAAGACCCAGCAATTCTACTCCTAGGTGAAATGAAAACATGTCCACATGAAGATTTTTACATAAATGTTCATTGCAGCTTTAATAACAATAGCCCCAAACTTGAAACAACTCAACTGTCCACCAACAAATGAATGGGTAAACAAATTGAGGTATAGCCATAC